CAAGAGATGTGTGTGTGTGTTTGTGTGTGTGTGTGTGTGTGTGTGTGTGTGTGTGCGCGCAGAAAACAGGAAAAACTGGACATTGTTTAAGTGCCAGAGGGAAGAATCCCGTAGAAAGAGGTTGAAGATACAATTGTGAACTAGGAGAGAAAGAGAGAGACTGAGAGAGAGAGATGGAGAGAGAGAGAGAGAGACTGAGCTAGAAATGTCTATGTGAAATGATGTCAACCGGGAAAACACTTTTTCAATACATATGAATGTGACTTCATGAAACTTGTATAGGCACTTTAAATACAAAAGTGTTGAAGCAAAGCAAATGGTTTCCAGATTTTTTGAGACACGTCTGTGAATAATTACCAGATCACAAGGGGTGCCATCTATTGAGCCCACATTATCGCAGACGTGGGTCTGGTGCTTGTTCATATCATCTCACTTGATCTTCATATCAGCCCTGCCAAGTCTGTGGTATTATTCTCGGTTGAGACAAAAGAATGTTTCACTAAGCCTGGAGTTAAGCCTCACAGAGAAAGAGTTTTTGCCTGAGGGCTTGCAGCTGACAGAGGACCCAGGGGGACCTGGGACCTCTTGCCCCAGAGCCCGGGCTCTTTCCTCAGAAGGAAAGAAACCTTAACCCCACCACCCCCTCCAAACAGCATCTGTCTGTTCTCAGTCTTCAGAGACACCAAGAACATTGATAAGACAACTTGTGGCAGGTTTGTTCAGTCTTGCAACTATCCGATGGAAATAGATCACAAATACAATAATAGAATTTCTTATTTCCCAGAGTGGATTCCTGGCTTTTCACATCGGGATCACCACTACAGAATTACACGTGTGTTTAGTCTGTGGGTTTCTGTGTTGTAGACGTGCGTGTTCATCCGTGTGCGTGTGTGTGTGTGTGTGTGCTTGCATCCGGGGGGATAGCTAGTTTTATGGGGCCTGAAGCTTATAATTTGGGGGACACGGATGGTTTTAGGGCTCTTCCCAGGAGCCTATGCGGGTGAAAGCCCTGCAACTCACTAGCTTCCCGGGAGCCCCTGCTCCGTACATGCATGTGTCAACATGAACCATGCATGTGTGCATGAAGATACAGAGAGAAACCAACAATAGGTCTTGTCCCTTAAACAGAAGCCTTGGTTCCCTTGCAACTTTTGCAGTTAGCAGTAGGTATTGCTTTTCTGGGAAGACAGAGAAGATTTACCACGAATCAAATGGGCCAAGAATTTTTTGACAAGTGCCTTTTGAATTCAAGCCAGTGGTCATCAGCTAAGTTAGATATACAGTGCTAGGGCTCATGCTCTTTATTTTCAGCGAGCAAATAAATGTAACTTATTTTTTAATCTCTTTTTTTATTCCAGAGATCTTTTTGTTAATACTACTTTTTAGATGCACTCTTCCGTGTAGGTACGAACATTTTTCAAGTGTACCCAGAGAACAGGCTGGGGGCTGGAGGGAATAGGAGGCAGTAGAGATGGGAGAGGATGGGGGAGGGGGCACGTCTTTATTTATTTAGAAAACTGTTGTAGACAAGACACATGCTCTGTGTTGTTCCAGAGCCAAGACTAGGAACTGAGGTACATGAGTTTGCAGGGGAGGCCAAGTTCCAACTCAACAGAAGAACTTTCTATCAACTAGAGCTGTCCAAAAATGGTTTGCTTGTGTTTGTGGCCGGCCGCCCATCCCTGGAAGTACTCAGCCAAAGCTACTTCTTGGCAAGGGAAGGGGAGGCAGGGGACTTCGACTGAACACAAGTTCGAGTCGCTCTAAGTAACCTCTAGATTCCTTTCTAAGATTCCAAGCTATTATCAGGCACACACTATTACTGCCAACCACACGTACCCAGGCTGTGCACCGTAAGTTGGTTTCTCCCCCATAGTACTGATGCCTTTGTAAGCCAGCCACATTCCCCAACTGAGCCCCTGGTTGCTGAGGAAACCTATGTCTGTGAATGGACTGATCCATCTATGGCCATCATTTACAGTTTTCAGATTCAATTTTTTCCTGGCTTGGAACGTGGGACCTTTTGCCCATGCTCATACCCATTAGCCAGCCATCCCAGGTGACACTTAGGAATGTTATCTCACTAGTTCTCATCCCAGGCTTATGGTTTAGGTAAGGAACTGGCAGAATTCCATTTGATTCACGCCTCCCCTGCTTTCTCTTGCACACTGAGACATGAACCTTGTCTGCCTGGCTCCCTTTGCCAGCTTTGGGATGAGAGGCAGAAGAGCGCCAGCACTGGGAGAGTCTGGAGTGGGGCTCCTATCAGCCCCTCTGTGGGCTTGCCTACCAGGCCCAGAGGAAGAGTTCAGCGGGAGGGGTGCAGAGAAGCCAGGATGGGTAGATGGCCTCAATTAACCTTTGACATTTCTGCGGGGGGAACAGAACAATGACCATGACCCAGACACTCCTTCTTTGTTCTCCCTAAGAGAATGCCTTAAGGGTCCACAGGTCTGTCCTACATGCTGTCATAATATCAATAAGAACAGTGATGGTGGCGGGGAGAGCGGAGGTCACAAAAACAGTTCCTGTTTGCTGAGTTCTTGCTGGTTGCTAAGCCCCGTGATGAGCTCATCCCTTCCTCACACGAATTCTATAACGTATATGCTGTTAACATGGCCGTTTTGTAGACCAAAGAACTGAGGCCTCCAGAGGGCAAAGGACATGCCTAAGACCCTAGTCTGACTCTAGACTCTTCCCCACTCTGCTTTATGGCCTCGCTTTCTGAATGTGCTTAGAGAAATGGAAACACAAAACAGAAGTGACCTGCCTGGACTTGACTCAGCAAACAGCGGAGCTTCCAGAGCGACCCCTGAGGAGAGGGTGGCGTGTAACATGTGCAGCAAGCACGCCTGCTCTAGGGGCTTTGCCGTACTCCCTCGTTGAACCCACACAGCAGACTTGGAAGGTAGATGCCTTTGCATTTCATAGGGAGGTTAGGGACATGTTCAAGGCCACCAGGCCCAGAGGGGCAGGGCGGCCTACATCTGCAAGTCTGTGCCTTCCCCACATCAGCCTGCCTCTCTGAGTGAGCAAAGTTGAACACCCTCACAGACACTAAATTTATATTTCCTGGCCTCCTCTTCCAAAATGGATGCACTAATTACTGGCCATTTTTTTTAGTAATACTAATCATCAGGAACACATTTTTCAGTGTTGCGTTTTCTCTTTCCGCGTACTACCGAAATAAAGCATTGCTCAAACCCACAGGATAAAACCCAGCGGGTGTGAGGCCATGTAAATTAAGGAAAGTTCAGGAAGACATTACACTACACCAAAAGAAACAAAGTGTTGATTAGGGACTTATTTTTGTAAGCGATTAAAATATGAATCATTAAAATAGGACTGTATTTCAGGCTCTATATCCTCCTCTCATCAGAGACGACATTACCATGACTACTAGGTTCAGATTAGAAGTGCTCCAAGCTTTCCCAGCTCAAAAAAATGCACTCGTGTGTGCCACGGTTCTACCTTCCCTAGAACATTCTTCCAAGTCTGGAGTGGAACCCCTCTGCATCCTCACGCCCATGTCATCATCAGGAAATGCCCAAATGACATGCTTGCCTTCAGCTCTTTAAAGTCTTTTGCTTTATTGAATCCTAATAGTAAATAGTGTCACTAAGTCATACTTAATACCACCCAAACTCGAAGGTGGAGGAAGGAACAAAGTCAAAACAAAGATACCAAGGCACCTCAGGAATCACTTAGAACAGAACATCCTTGAACTTTATTTGGTACAAGTGGTCTGCAGAAAAAAAGAAATTAATATGGAGCGTTTCTCGGGTTCAGACAGAATTTAAAAGAAAAAAATAATTTAGCAATAGCCCAAAATATGCACTTAAATTAAGTTGTTAATTAAAGTATCTGTTAAAAATGGCTAAAATTAGAGACAAAAGCCCATTATTTGGTACAATTGCTGATTGCATATCTGTATGTGGAAGGGCGTAGGGGGACAGTCAGGAAAGCCTGTGGTATTTTAAAGATTAATCACCCACCTGCATTTTTGAACTTGGATCTAAGCCAGAGGGGTGGGACAAGACCATGGCAGGTTTTTGGGGACTTTTTTGTGGTTTGAGCTTTTTTTTTTTTTTCCCCTAATTAACTACTCAGTGGACACTTTAAATACCAAATATATCAGAACAGAGGGCCCTAGCTCAGACCAGCCCCTACCAACCTCCTCAAGGGGCTGACATCTAGAGATGATTTTCTGGAAACGGTAGAGCTTTGGAACAATGGCTGTGTGTATTTTTAAAGGAGGTAAGCATCCCAGAATGTGCCAGTTCTTGAGAGGGTATCTTCAATAGTTAGCTCCTCTGACCGGACTTGTGCATTTTTTTCATCCTCATTCTCTTCCTGCCTGGGATTAGGGTGGGTTCGAAAGGCAATTTTTTTTTTTTTTTCTGTTGGAAGAGCTCTCTGAAGAACATATGAATTGCCATTGACACATTAAAAATTTTCATACTAGTGACTGCATAATCCTTCTTTAGTTAATCTGAAATGCAAGCAAAGATTGAAAAGAATATTTTTTCACAAGAATAATAGCAATAAATTGGAATCATTGAAATGTCCAGTAAAGTCTGGTGCATCCCTGTGATGGGCCCTCATTTTGCAGCCAGTGGAGCAGTTCAGTAATGTGGAGGGAAAAAGAGAGATACAAAACTAGGACAAGCCTGATTCTAACTCTAAAACCATAGATGGATGGTGGGAATAGGACTTTTTTCTCTCAGTGATAGGATTATAGGTGATTTTTGTTTTCTTTCTGGTTTTCGGCCCTTTTAAAACTTTTCTCATATATTACTTGCACAGTTTCAAGAGTCCAGTGAAAAAAACAATCACGTGGCTCCAATCCTCTGAGTGTCCCCCGTGTGCTCAGGGGGCTGGGTAGCACGCGGACCTGGCTCGCCATACGTCTTCAGTCCAGCACCACCCAGAGAGTCGAAGCTCAGTCTGTTCACTGAAATATTCCCATTGCTCTAATTCTCTTTCCTTTTTCTTTCCAGGTGATGTGCTCTATGAACTCCTTCAGCATATTCTGAAGCAGAGAAAACCTCGCATTCTTTTCTCACCATTCTTCCATCCTGGAAACTCTATACACACACAACCAGAAGTCATCCTGCATCAAAACCACGAAGAAGGTACCAGAGGAGGCTTTCCTTTCCTTGCGCGAGGTTTAGACAATCCAAGGGATGCTGTTGTTTATTTGATAAGTTGTTCTTATCCATGTGATTCATTTGTCCTTGAACCCACATGTGTTGAGTGCTCACTGTATAGAAGACACCGAGGGAAACGCCGGGATGGAAGAGAGGGACTCTTGGTTCTCTGCTTGTCCTAAAGAAATGAGCTACAAGGATGAGTATCAGAGCATAGGTGTAAGAGTCAGTGGGAGGGGAAATTGATCCCGGCCCAGGCATCAGGGTCAGCCTCATGAAGCAGGCGGTTCTGGAGGCTTCCTTGCTGGCCCCGCAGAGTTCTGGTAAGCAAGGATGAAGTGGGGAGCCCTCCAAACAGAGAGAACAGGTAGGATGGAGTGAGTCCCTGAAGTAAGAGAGGCCTCAGATGAATTGGGTTATAAGGCTTATCCCCACACCCCCCCCCCCCCCGCAACATTTGTTCTGGAAACTGTCAAACAAGAGAGATTTCTCCCAAATAGATAGAATGAAATAAATAAACCCCTGTGAGCCATTACCCCATTTCAACAGTGATCAACATTTTGCTTTTGCAGAGCTAGTCCAAGCCAGTTATATTGGACCCAGAATGGAGAGGGCTTTGATGAAGGACAGTAATGGGGGAGGGGGGGTGTCTTTGAAAATTTGTGAGTAGAGCGTAATAAAAGCTGGGGGAGCAAGACAGACTCAAAGCCTATGAACTCTGGTGGACCAGGGGTTCCTGCTTCATGCACCGAAGGCGGTTTCTTACAATGTGCTCAGCCTAGGTGCCTACTTCAGATGTGCCTGGTAAGTCCCGGCAGTCCTAAAGGCACCGGTAGGAAACAGAAAGAAAAGACCAGACTTGAACAGTGCCTCTGGACATCATTCCAAAGCATGTGTTTGGGTGCAGATCTAGCTTCTTAACATCTTACTTGGTTCAGCGATGCCTCGTGCCTCCGAGAAGCATGATGATCACTTGTGTGCTGGTGGGTTAGACAACAGACCTGGGGACACAGAGTAACACTTTTTAATGTGTCCTTTCTCTTAGGACTGGATTTCTCGGGGCCTCCAAGCCTGGTTCCTTGGGGTGTTTCCTTAGATTGATTGCGCCTCCTCAAGAACAGGGCCCATATTTTTGTTTTGTTTTGTGGTTGGCAAATTAAAAAATGAGAAGTTATTTGTTTTCTTAATTAACATTTCACAAAAGAGAGCCTGACTCCAGGCGACCGACTGCCATCCCTTCCTTGTGCCAAGTGGCTCACAGCAGGCCCCCTTGCTTTCGTGAGGGAGAATAAAGGAATAAAGGAGTAGCTCTTGCCTGCTCCCTGCCTGTTTTCTCTCATCCTTTCTTCCCCCAGCTTTACCCTTGCTTAATTTAGCAGCTGCCTCCCCTTCCCACCACCCCGCAATTCGGTTTCTCTGTTCTTTTACTCTTCCTGCCATGTACATTTCCGGCTTGCATAATAGCCAACATCTATGCCAGAAAAGAGGAGGTGAGTTTACTGAAGCTTGACATTAAGGCAAGAATCATACTACGTAGCTTGCCTCCTTGGATACAAAAGGTGTGTGATGGGCTTTTTTTTTTTTTTTTCTTGTCCTCCCGTCTCTCTCTCCTGTACTCATTATTTAAAAAAAAAAAAAAAAATCCCATTTGGAATTCCTATTCCTCTTTTTATTCCCAAATGCATTTGGAAGCTTACAGTCTCTCACCACACATGCTTCGCCTTGAATTGACTCAGAAGTAGGTGTTTGTTGGTGTTCTCGTTTATAGGAGCTAATCAATAGAGAAAGCCGGGCTGATTCTCAGAGCTACCCTCAGACCAAGTAAATACAGATGTGCTGCTTCGTGGGCCATAACGAGCTATGTATGCTCTCGAGCATTAGGATGTCAGTGGCGGTGACTCCATAGGTAAAAGGATGACGCTAATGAGGCCAAGGTCAAGGGCTTCATCACCCTGGGGACCAGTGAGCTTGGCCTCAGAGCCGGCTCTTAAAAGTAGCGTGTTCTCAGAGACCATTCCTTAAAGCCATCAGCCAGGACTCAAGACCGGAGGGTCCATGCCTGTTTAGACACGGCGCATTCTCTCAGGTGAGCAGGTGGACATGTGAGAAAGGAAGTTTAGGTCTTTGTCGGAAGGTATCAGCTGAGAAGAGCTGTGCGGGGCACGGAGGTGATATGCACAGGCCACCTGTCACCCGACTACCGGGGATGACAAGGGGACCCTTCAGAGAGGAGAATCAGCCAGTACGAGGTCCCTACCTCCAAAAACCTCCTACCTCATTCCTTTTTCTCCACACACACACACACAAAAAAAAACTATCCAGCTCAACATGACCGGTCTGTAGAATTAATGCCACCACACTTCCTTGTGAATGGTAGAACACTAATATGGACATTTGTGAACATACAGAAAGATCCTGGAAAAAAAAAATCTGTAAAGTGAGATTATACATATTGAATAGTCTGTCCCTTGGGGTGTGTTCCACATCACTGGGGGCACAGTCCTTTGAAAAAGTGTGTTGCCATTGACCTGACACAGAGCTAATATGACAGGAAGGAGAGCAGGAACATTCCAGAGGAGAGCAGACGTGGCCCCTCAGCGGCCTGGCACAGTGAGGCACGCAGAGGGACGTGCAAAGACAAAGCCTCATTTACCCCCTCCCCGCGACTGCCCCTCATCACGGCCGCCGACTTAACCGGTTCAGACATTCATCATTTCACAACGGTAATTGAGATCACAGTCCAAACATATCTTGTTGAATCTAGCAGCAGTTCCCCACACAGCCCCTGAGAGTGCCTGACATTGAAATCTCTCCGTCCTCCCAGGCAGCCGTGTGGCAGTGCCCGGAGCCAGGAAGTGGCTTCAAGGCTCCCCTCCAGACTCTGAAGGGTGAGGTAGGCTATCCCATGAAAGCCAGTTACCTTTTATTTTGTAAACAATTGTTAATCTCTGTGTTGTACAGGATTCTGAAAACGTGTGGTGCCTGGGGTGAAGCTCCACTTAAACCTCCACTGACCGCCCAGGTTTAAGAGAACCAGCATGGGCACCCTCTTCCTTAACTGACTTTTGAGAATAGAGTGCAGTATTCTACAAGGAAGGCAGCCTTGTAATCTCTCACCCATACCGAGCCACTGTGACAGGGAGACAGGATTCCTCCAGCAGGTACGCCGGGCACTAGGCACAAAGCAGGACCACCCCGGACCACCTGGCAGGCACGGTCAGCTTCGATCATATTTTTTAAAGGATGGGGTTTGGAAGTCAGGAAACCAGGCTCCAATCCTCTATTCTGCCAGAACAAAGCATAAGGGCAGACTTTCTCTTCTCTGGCCCTCAGTTTCCCCAGTTGTGAGACAGGGGTTAGACCGAATGTTCTCAGATCTCCTACACTCCCAAATCCTACATTCCCTCCAAAGTCTGGGTCTCTCTGGGTGATAGGAAGATGAATGGACCCATTCTCTACCTACCATCAGGGCCTTGGGCAATTAAAATCCAGAAAATCTAAAGTGTGTTTCGCTTAGTGTTGCTCAGAATCAGTTAAACATCTCTTCCGTCCTCCCTTGTCTCACCTTACTGGGACCTGCTGGTAATATTACCCCTTTTAGTGGTCAAACCAAGACTGGCACCATCCCTTTATCTCATGACCGAAATTCAAGTGGATTCCTTTTCTTTTATTGTTATGACTCATTTTATCTGCATAATATGAATGAGTTAAATGTTAGGTAGATAGTTTTATAGGAAGGAGATAAAACCAAGAAATGATACTGTTTCTTTCACCAAAATGAGGAGGTAAAACATCTTTAGAAATTACAGATCAGCAAATGATGATAAAATAAATATATTTTGTCACCCACAGTCATAATATCAACTACTTTTGACACCTTAGATCCTAAAACCAGTTACTTCTAGTTCCTGTAGAATAATTACAAGAAAGGTTTGGTCCCTAAGTATATATTCGATCTCTAGTAGCCCTACTGGTGTTAAAACTACTTGCATAGTGATTCCCTAAAAGCTCATTGAGCAGTACAAAATATGCTTCCAGTTGAGCTAGTCTCCAAATGGGGCCAGCTCCACAGAGTTATCCTGTCGGACTGGACAGGCTCCAGTCCGTAGAACAAAGGAACAAGAGTTGCACTGATCCTATGCTGTCATCCCAGGACCCCTGTGGGGGACCCCCTTATAATACACATCAGCTCTCTAGACCCACCCTCTAATGTGTCCTATCTAAGAGAGTGGGAGGTGATTTTTAATCACTTTCATTTGAAAATATTTACACATGCAGTGTTGTGATTGTTTCTGTAACAGTGGACACCCTTTGAAGACACATGTGTTGCTCGGGGGGAGCTCTGTCACTTGGTGGACATGGAAATCCTAAGTGATAGTGAGAACCTTCAAGCGCCAAAACAGCAGACCTCAGTTCTCTATCCAGCCATATGTGATAATGGCCCAGAGAATAGAGAAGAGTCATTTCTTTGTGGAGAGCAAGGAGGGTGCCATGCATTCTGCAATAGCCCAGGGATTTTCATCTTTGGGGTTGCTTTATTGAGGGAAATGTTTCCCCTCCACCCCCAATCCCCTCTACTGCCAAATCCAAGTGCCCAAAGACTGCTTTGGAGGAGGGAAATCTTACACAATTTTAATGAGATAATTAAAGAAGATGAGGTGTGTGGATTTGCTTTATAGGAACAAAGTAATAGCTAACATTTACGGTGTGCCAGGCCCTGTTCTAAGCTCTTAGGTGTCCAGATCACTTCATCTTCATAACTACCCTATAAAGAAGGTACTGTTGAAGTAAGTCAATCGGAGAAACACAACTATCATATGATCTCCGTGATATGAGGAAGTGGAGATGCAACATGGGGGGTTAAGGGGGTAGGAGAAGAATAAATGAAACAAGATGGGATTGGGAGGGAGACAAACCATAAGTGACTCTTAATCTCACAAAACAAACTGAAGGTTGCTGGGGGGAGGGGGGTTGGGAGAAGGGGG